AGCACTTCTGTTTCCAACCAATTTAAAAACAAACAAAAAAAAAAGCCATAAGACTGAACCCTGCCTGGCTGGGGTTCAGTACCCCCATCAGGGCTGGTGGGAGCAGAGAGGCTCGTTCTGTGCTTGTGCTCCTGCAACAGCACCTTTGGAGCAGATTTGAGGCTGTGGTGAGAAAAGGGTTAATCCTCCAGTGTGGTGGATTACACACCCCCGATCCCTCCAGGTAAGGAGCTCGTGGAGTGCTAAGGTTACTACAGCCCACACCAGGAACCCCGTTAGCTTTAATGTCTACGGGAGGCTTCACCATCAGGGCTTGTCTGCAAACCCAGCCAACTTCTGGCAACCGTTCTCCACCACAGCTGGAAATTTAAAATTGCAGTGAGAGGAACCCCTCCCGCTGCCCACCACGGCACCAGGAGGGGAGCTGGGAGGGCTCCAGCTCCTGGGGACTGGGCCCCAGACGCCGCAGGCAGGCTGCGCAGGCTTACCATCAGCCGTCTCCACGTAGAGTCGCAGCCCCAGGTTGTATTTCCGATCCACCAACCAGTGGTTGCTGGCGGCCGCGACGGCGGCGCACACCCCCTCGGTCCCGGCACGCAGGTCCTGGACATCCAGCAGGAACAGCTCAGACTCCCTGCGGAAATAGGGGAAAAAAACCCCGAGCAGGTGAGTAATCGTACCCAAAGGGCACCAGCGATAATTCATGGAAATGAGTCCTCGGTGCCTGTGTCTGTACAGGTCCCAGCACAGCAGGGCCAGGACAGTGGCTCCCGGTGCCTACGGCTGTGCCGGACATGATGGTGGCACCCCGGCAGCTGCCCTGGGAAAAGCACCCTCCCAGCCCTGGCCGAAAAGCCGGGGGGTGGCATTGCCCAATGGGAAAGTGTGGGAACAGCCGGGCACAGCAGTGCTGCTTCCCTTGGCGATTGCCTCGTGGTGGGAATGGAAAGTGCTGGGGCTGGTGCTTGTGGGGAACCCCATCCTCATCATCATCCCCATCCCTGTCTGCATCCCCATCCCTGTGTCCATCCCCACCATCTTCATCCTCATCCCCATCCACGTCTCCTTCCTCATCCCCACCCTGTCTGCATCCCCATCCCTGTCTCCATCCCCATCCCCACCATCTTCATTCCCATCCCCATTCCCATCCTTGTCTTCACTCTCATCCCCATCCCTCTCCATCCCCATCCCCACCATCTTCATTCCCATCCCATTCCCATCCTTGTCTTCACCCTCATCCCCATCCATGTGTTCTTCCTTATCTCCATCCTCATGCCCATCCACGTCTCCATCCCCATCCTCCTCCCTGTCTTCCTCCCCATCCTCATCCCTATCCCCATCCCCGTCCCCATCCCTGTCCCTGTCACCTGTTGGAGTGCTCGGCGGCGATCTCGTAGATGCTGACGTGGAGGGTGTTGTTGGCGTGGCGGGTGACACCTCGCGCCTTGTAGATGCGAAACTCGGCGGCCGTCACCGACTCGCCCGTGGGCACCTGGGTCAGGTCGAATCTGAACTCCTTCCAGTACGGCTTTGGCGAGAAGATGTCCCGGTCCTGCTCGACTGCGGAGCAAAGGGGTCAGGGAGGGCTGTGCCGGGCTCTCACCGTGCCGCCGGCCACCCTAACGGGCCGATCGGAGCCTGCAG